GAATGAAAAAACTAAAAACACAACTAATGCTAACGGTCTTGTTAGGAGACTAAACATAAAAATGTGAGCCAGACAAAACAAATAAAGTCAATTAAGAATCTGTTTACTTTGACCATTAATTTACTTTTTTATTATTTTTGCTTGCTCTTATTTGTGACACTAATTTGTATTAATAACAACAATATTTGCATATTTTTGAATTACTGCACTTTCTTTAATTATAATACAATAATTGTAATATATTTTTATTAGAAATTATTATTAATCAGGAATAATTCAATTTAAGCCCAGTTTTCCGCCCATTGTTTATGTCTTTATTAGTTTGAATGAATTGAATGCATTTGTTTTGAGTGCAAAATCGATAATTGCTTTCAAAACATAGATTTTGATTCTTATGAAAGAGTCAGTAATGAAGAGACAGATTCAGTCCAACAGACAAATAAAGCAATGATTTTATAAATTAATTGTATTTGTATTTTATATGAAGTTCAATATATTTGCTCCGAATTCATACAATAAACGGATTGTAATAAACTAGTTTGTTGATCTGATAATCTTATTTAATCATTGATTGTCTTAATCTTGAGACGACATTGAATTTAATCGATGGAAGACTACAATACCGTAAATGTCTTGAAAACACAATTTTTATTTGTCTTATTTGTCTATTGTATTTGAAAATTCAATGTATGGAGAATCAGATTTGTTTTGCATCAATGAATTGATTGAATATTTTTTATTGTATGCATACATTTATACCTAAAATAAGAAACTTTTATTAAATTAAAGTATTTTTAGATTTAAGTTTAAATTTTAAGTTAAAATAGATGCTGAAAGAAGATCTTACAATTACTGTTAGCATTTTATCCAAATTTCCTGATCAATAACTAGATCACATGTCACAAAAAGTTACCTATTTATAAGTCAAACTGTATGTGCACTTTACAACTATATTTTTTGGTTTTATTTCAAAATATCAAGAAATTTCCAAAAAATACAAAAATCTAAAATCAAATTTTATACAATAAAAGCAATTCATGCAAATAAATGGATAAATGTTTTATATGATTAAACTAAATAGAAAACAATATTAAATAAAAATGTTATGAATTAGAAATGTCTAAAGTGTTTCCATAATTGGTATGATTTCTATTTGATGGCAGATATGTGGCAATTGTGTACCCATTGAAGCCGCGGATGTCTAAGAAGAATGCGCTGTCAATCATATTAATGATATGGTTGTGCGGATCGCTGTTTGCTTTGCCGACACTCCTCTACTCTAAGACCCTGTCCTACAGATACGCAAAAAGGGAAATCAGGACACTATGTATAATGATATGGCCGGACGGTGTGGCCGGACAGTCCTCCTCAGATAACATGTTCGCACAAACTCTTAATTCTTGTGAACCATGAACTAATCAATTGATTTGTTTGACAGATACAACATACTGTTCCTTTTGCTCACATATGTGGTGCCAATCATCTCAATGGTGTTCACCTATACCTTGATTGCGAGGGTCTTGTGGGGACACAAAGGGATCGGAGAGTTCACCGAATTTCAGAAGGAGTCGATTCGGTCCAAGAGGAAGATCGTGCGGATGTTGATGGTCGTGGTCGCCATCTTCGCCATTTGCTGGTCTGTCTACCAATCTCTCGAGATATATATAAATTACAAAATGTATGAATAGTTTATAACAAGAAAGTGATGCATTTGTGTGTGATTTGTAGGCTTCCCTATCACTTGTACTTCCTATACACGTACAAATTCCCGGAAGTGGTGCACTTCCCATTCATTCAACACATCTATTTAGGCATATATTGGTTAGCGATGTCCAACTCAATGGTAATATTAAATCATACATTTTGTTTGATGTGTTTATTATTACATAATTTAATTTTACTTTTCAGTATAATTGGATGATATACTGCTGGATGAATAAGAGGTATGACTACCACCGCATAGTTATATCTTATAACTTATATATAAATATACTCTACTCTTGTTGAATTCACTTAAAATATATAAAGTATAAAAAAACATTTTTTCCTTTCAATAAATCTACCATATTATATTATATTATATTTGATATCTACCGTATTAAATATAACAGAACCCCTTAATGTTGTTTTTTTTTATAAAAATTATATGTTGTTAATGCTTGTCCAAAAACATAATTCAAATATGTATTAAAGTTTTCGTCCTATTTTTAGTCAAATATTTTAGATTAAAATTTTTCAAAACAACATTTTTTATACAGAATTCAGTGAAAATAAAAAACATAATAAAATATAAGGTGGTATCTTTTTTAAATATGATTTATATATCTATTATAATACTATTGAATGCTTTGGTTTTGAAAAAGGCTTTCATTTGTAGTTTTTATGAATTTTAAGTAATATTTTTTCCCATTCTTTCTTCACATAAGTTTTGTTATCAAATAATGTTTTCTATGAAAAGTGGATTGGATTTCAAATGAAATAAATTGCGAAATTTTTTTGACTTAAATTCTTTATTTGAAATGTTGAAATATTATAAAAATATGTATTAGAAATATAATTATATGTGAAATATGAATACAAAATACTTTTTCAATTTTCAATTCTCAGTATTTTGCCACATTTTCGTAAATTATATCTTTAAATAAAAATTTCAATTAAAAAATTAGAAATTATTCTTGCAATAAACTATATTTATTAATAGTTTTTTAAATATTTAAATAATACTTTTAATTAGAGATTTTACCATTTTTCTTATTATTTTTTCATTAATGTTTGACTCATTATTGTGTAAATTCTTGTTGGTTTGTATTAAATGTTAATATTTTATTTTTTATACAAAGAATAATTAATTTAAATAAATCCATTTTAACTTTAATATAAATAATGCAATTGTGTTATTAGAGTAAAAGTTAATTATTTTGTTATAATTGAATTTTTATTAAAATGAGATTTGCATTGGGATTAGGATTACATATTATTAAAGTGTTATTATAAATAAGAGAAAAAAATCGTTAAATTCTTTCGTATTTTGAGTAAAAATCAAAAACGTTAAAACTACAAAAATTTTTATATTGAAATATTTATAGCAATATAAAAGATTTTTACTTAAAATATGAAAATATTTAATTAATTTTTTGTCTCTCAAATATTTATATTGATTATACCATTAACTTTCACATTTAAGTTTCAAGATTAACTCACAACGGGTTTAGAAATTTGCAGACTATTAATATTATAGTTTTCCATTACTTTTATTTTGTTTTCACTATGAATTAATGCTCAAATCATAACAAATATGTTATTGTCGTCACAGGCTTACACTCTTGGGATAAACGGATTATTTTGGAAAACAATTTATCAATTATTAGTCGATTTTCAAATTGCTTATCTCATTCATAGACCATTATTTAATATTAGATAATAAATTCTTTTATATAAAGGATTTGTTGAATAAAATACAATAATAATTTAACATTTAAATTTCATATACAAAAACCTTCGAAATGATAGATTATATTATTTTTGGGAATTTTATGTAAAAACTTTCTCAGACTAGCTGTAATGTAAATGAATAAATAATATTTAAAAATTTCTCAATTGTCATTACCGGTAGGAATTTATTCAAAATATTTTATACTGTATTCAACAAATTTTATATTTAGCAACTTTTCAATCCACTCTAGATAATTAAATCTGAGTGAATGGTATTATTATAGTACCAAAAAATGTTTAATATTTTTATGATAACACATTTTTTTGTTGAATAAGTATTTGTTGTGTAAAGAAAGGACAGATCAATGACTTAAATGTGTTGAGAAGATACACACGACTTACTAATAGACTTATTATGTGTTAACATTCCTATAGTTTCATTTCAATTGACATTTTTATCCTATATTTTCTCAGTTTCTTTAATATCGTGTGCACGACATTATTACCAGAAATCTCATAAATCCGACAAAATTTAATATAAAAAAAATTGGATAAAAAATAAACATTAAGTTCGGGTTGAAATTGGGTTAAAATATTTGTAGGCTCTATAACATATCTCTATTATGTTTATAGACCAAAAATTATTTAATTTTAAGCCAAACTTCCCAAAAAAACTAATTTAAAAAGATTAAAAAATACTCAAAACTATTTACACTTTTTAAAGTGATAAATAGAAACATAACTAAAATTTATTGCCAAAGACTCCCACATTATATGAATTTACTTTTTTGTCTAGTTTTATGGTAAATACTAAAATATTTAACTGAAAATAAGGTTTACATTTATAGCCACCAAGATTTTAATCAATTTAACACTAATGTCGAGTCTTTTCAATTAGATTCAGAATGAATTTAGTCCACAATTTGAATCATTAATATTTATTTTAATTTCAATAAAAATAGACTCAATACAATTTTCTCTTAGTGCTTTTCATTAAGAAGTTGGATTCATTTGTATCAGCAAGTGATCATTTAATTGATTATGCTCAATTAATTGATTAAAATACAAACGACATGTTTGAATTTCTTTTTATTTGCAATAGCAAAGTGATCACTAATGTCTACTAATTACTTGTAATTGTCAGAATTGTTTACATTATATAAATATGTCTTATATTTGATACTAAATATAGTATATTATACATTTGAAATCCCAAGAGTAGTGACTTCAGAAACAATATTTTCGAAATCATTGAAAATTCTTACAAATGGATAGTTATTTCGCATTATAAAAATATAAAGTTAAGTGTTTAATACGTTTAGACACGATTACATCTTTAAAGTTTGACAAATAATAAATTTTTATAGAAATAGTATTTTTGAAAGCAATGGCTAAAAATAATTCTCGCATTACATACACTCCCAAAATATATGAAATATTGATAAAAAAGTTTTCGCTGGAAATATGACAGTTGTTTCAAATGTGGAAATAATTTTTTAAATCAAATCCTCGTCCTCTAAAGCCATTAAAGTTTCTATTATTATTGGTTTGGAAATACAAAGGGAGTGAAATACTTGATAAAACTTTCTAAAATCGATCACGAATTTTGTTTTATATGATTATAAATGATAAATAGAAATTGAAATTTATGTTTAGGTTCACTATTTCTCGCCAAATCCTTGAACTTAATACACGACTTGTAATGTTATTTTAAAAGCAATGTTTCATTTTGGGTTTTGTAATTTATTTGTTCACCACTTTTCCCATATTACTTAACCGGTAATGTGTTTGAATCAATGAAGAATTAACACAATTTTATACCATTATTCAGCCATGTACTCTATCTAGTCATTAGGAAATAATGTAAAAATAGGTTTAAAAATAAACGATTTAAACAAATGTTATTTTCAAATGATAGTATTAGAAATGAATAAAAATAAATTACATACAAAGACTTTGTTTGTCCAAAATAGTCATTTGTTTATCCATAATATTTGCTCACAAACTATTTAAAATAATTTAAATATCATTTTGGGTAATAAATAACTAATTAAATGATAGATTATTACAAAGGTTTAGTTGCAAACAAATGGTAGCTTTTAATATATTTTAGTATAAGGTTTATGAACTAAAATCTATTTCACAAGACTAGTATTTGTAAGAATTTATTCATAAATCAATAAATAATAATAGGATTGTGTTTGCGAGATGTGGGCATTTGCCCAAAATAGCCAAAATAATAAGTAGTATTACTTTAAGCCCTTTAAAAATATCCGTCACCTCATAGTGAACAAGAAAATTGAATTCATTTTCTCTCTCTTTTTGCTATGAATTCAATTGATATTATAGTGTATAGCAAATGAAATATATTTTAAAAGGTTGACTTAAATCTGAATTTAAAAGATTACTCATTCAAACCATTAAGTGATTTGTGAAATGAAAAATTCATTGAATTGATATCTCAATCAATCATTTGGACACAGAATGAACTCAAATATTTATTTCAACATCAAATGCATACATTTTTTTTATTTGCAATATAAATCTTAAATTTCAGTTTTATTTATTTATTTAAATTTTATATATGATACATTTTATATATACTGTACAATACTAAGGTTTATTCTGTGAATATTCTTAAGTAAAAATTTTATAAAAAAGTTAATTTATTTGAATAACATGATAATATTAAGAATTAATTATTTTATTTATTTGAACACCTTATTGTTATAATTCGAGAATACCGTTATTTTTGTTGACCCTATTTAATGATTTATTTAATCATAACAATTCTGTTATTGAAAATAATAACATGATTTATTATAATAGACAGTTTATAATGAAATTAAATTAATTCTAGTTAATAAACAAAATTCATGAATAAAAAAGATCCAAATAAAACAAATGTCTCAATTAGTAAAAATAATAGCAGTGGTTTTTACTTTCTTAAATGTATGAGACATTAATTATATTAAGTCTTTAACCATCAAGATCAAAAATAATTTAATAAACCCCAGAAATGATAAAAACATTTAGCAATTAAAAATGAACGTAAAATACGAAAGTATTTGCCCACAAATTATACAATACTTCACACTTTCATAAAATCGTGATTTTCTTTAATTATATTAAATCATGGGTTCATTATTTTCAAAAATATATACAATTAATATTTTTATTATTATATATACTAATTAACATGTTTCGAGTCATTAGGAAAACCCAATTATTAGTTAACAAAATGTAATATTATATAAATCAAATATCATAATAATTTGTAGATTCTTGTGAAATAATATTTTCTGAATAAGATCATTAAAATACATAAAATTAAACTTCATATTGAAAATTATTTTACTTGTTACTAACAATAGAAGCTATGCTTCATTAACGTCCAATTCATTGTATATTAAGTTATATGAAGTCTACATATTATATACATTTTTGCAATATAATTTTCAAACGCATAAATAATTCACCGTAATCTTTAAAAATAAGCAGTTTTATGTGATTTA